ATCAGCTCCTATGTGTCCAGGCAGCTTTAATCTTTTAAATGTAACCACTTGGCCTCTGGAAGATTTTACCCCCTTCAAAACTAGGACATTTTTTGCTAAATGGCACTGCGCTACTTTAACTAACAATTGTGCAGTGATGCAACACTGTACCCAAATTAGATTTATAGCATTTTTTTCACTCAAATATAGATTTCTTTTGTGGTATTTGATCACCACTGGGTTATTTGTTGCACTATAAATGAAAAAAGACCGAAAGTTTTGAAAAAAAAATATTTTTTACTTTAATAAAAAATTGTAAAAACTAAATTTCTTCATAAATTGTGGCCAAAATGTATTCTGCAACATGTCTTTGGTAAAAAAAAAATCCCAATAAGAGTTATTAACTAATTGGCGGTATATATACTTGAATTTTTTTCTTTTTATATTCTAGTGATGGCAGTGATCAGTGACTTATAGTGGCACTGTGATAGCGCAGCTGGCAATCTGACACAGGCTAACTGACTAACTGACAGTGACACCACCAGTGACACTAATACAGTGATCAGTGCTAATATGCACTGGCACTGTACAAATGGCACTGCATAGGAAGGGGTTAACATCTGGGGGCAATCAAAAGGTTAACTGTGGGCCTAGTGTTATTGTATTAACTGTGCTGCATTTACTAAGGGATGAAACGGTTTTTATTCCCTGCTGTGCAGGAAGACAAAAACAGCTACATCCCCGCTGTCAGTAGAGAGATCTGTGTTGTTTATCTACACAGATCTCACTCCTGTCACTTTTTTGGGTTCTGGCTATGAATCACTGGTCGGAACCTGCTGATCAGCATGTAAGGGAGCCAGTGAGACTGCAGCCATGTGGGAGAGTGCGCACTCCCCTACCCAAAAATAAACTGTTTTATATATTCTGCGCAGCTGGCCCGCACTGTAGCAGTAAAACTACAGTGCACAGTCAGCAAGCGGTTAAATGATAGTTCTGGTTTTAGCACCTGTCCCTCTTTGAATTGGAGCTATGTTCCTAAAAATTGTAGTTGTATCCAGTAATTCTTCTGACAACCTGCACTTACCCTGTGCATATTTTGTGGTAGGTTGTAGGTCAGGGGTGTTAAAGCTTTGGAAGAGCGAGGGCCACTTAAGTGATTTGGTAACTTGTCATGGGCCACAATGAAATCAAATGGTTCAGAATTTTTTTTTTATGTTGAATAGCATAATCCGTCCTCCATTTTCCTCCTGCAGCAGCTGAATGCCCAAGGGAAAGGAGGAGAAGCCGCATTTCAGTGAAGAGGATTGGTTTCTGTATATGCCTCTCCTCCTGTCCAAGTGTAAAACAGAACGTAACAGGGAGGCCGCATGGGTCCCCTGGAGCATGGGGCAGGGTCAAAATTGCAACCCCTAACTCTGCACCAATGATTGGGAGGGGGTAAAAACACATCTTAACTATTGGGTTATACCACCCCTCAAGCTGCAAATGTAAACAAGTCCTTACTGTCCTGAGCCCCCTATAAGGCTCCTGCCCTGCACTTCTGGCTTTCCTTTGAATTAGCTGCGATTTGCCGTAGACTTCTATTATGTCTTGCCGGTGTGATGCACTTTCTGAAAACGCACCAAAACTCCTGCATTCAAGAGTTTTGGCACTCTTTCAGAAAGTGCACCAAACCCGCAGAATATAATAGAAGTGCGCTTTCCTGGTTTGAAGTCAAGGGCCACATCAGAGGGCTCTGAGGGCCACATGTGGTCCACAGGCCACAGGTTTAGCACCCTTGTTGTAGGCGGTTTCTAGGCATTGAGAATCTGGTGTCTGTAGAGCTCAGCCTAATGCGTGTTAGTCCCTGGTCACACCAGTGTGAATTGTCATGCGATTTGATAGTTTCAAATCGCATGACAAGTTGCACTCTATTCTCAGCCATGGAAGCACTCATATCAGAGCGATTCCGACTCCTTCTGAGTTGCACTGATTTGGAAGGTACTTCATGCAATACTTTTTGCAAGTTCAGGTGTGACTTTGCATTGACATCTGTACATGAATTCGCACAGATGTCTTCCAAGTCGCACCTGAAGTTGGACTGACAGCAGACTTTGAAATCGTGCAAATTCAAGTAAAGTCGGATTCAGTGACCGAAGGCTTAATGTAGAACTTGACCCCCCCATGTAATTTTTATTTTAATTCCCCCTTACTTTCTCTTGCTGTGATAAACACCCAATATAGTATGTTTTTGTAGTGATGCACTGATCCGCAGCTGCACATTGGTCTTACACAGCCATTTCTATCTCTGTATCATGAGGAGCCGGCTGTATATTAGCATCTCTTGGAACTGGACTTCTAATGACAAGCCATGGTGCACACAACATTTCGGTAGACTGTCCCAAAGCCTGCTGGAATGCGTGACCCGGGTTTTCCAGAAGGCTGCAGGCGGCTGTAGAGGTACGTCATTCTCACCTAGCTGAGAAATCCATAAATACAATAAAAAGGTATTTTAAAGTGGAAATAAATGGGTTAATACTCACCTTTCCAATGGTCCCTCACTGGGGCCAGCATCTCTTGTGTGTCGTTTTCAGCCATCTTCATTGGCTGGTGCAGGATGACGTGACTCCTGCTATGATATAAAACAGTCAATAATCACCAACACCTTACAACCATGGCAAAAAAGGGACATCCTAAACATTCCTCTACACTTCTGATTGGTATATTTTTTTTTTTTTATGCAGTGGATCACTTTTCAGAGGCCTGTGCAGGCATGGCTGACAGGCGTTCATAAGGTGATACTGCTGTTTCCTGAATGTTCTCTTATTTTTTTTGGTACAACTGAATTGGTTGTGTGAATGTGAATATAGTGTACAAGTCGCGGTTGCAGTGCGGCCCCATTCACTTGAAAAAGTTGCATTTGGCAGCAGAACTTTCTGCTGAATGTGATGGGGGGATTATTTTTGCTGGCCAAGAAGCAAGGCATTGTGCCTGTGCATGTATACACACCCCTGTCCAACTGGGAGAGGCGATATAAAAACATGTTTCAAACACCTATTTTTACCCCTCCAACCACAAGTGTAAACTAAGCCTAAAGCCAGCCATAGATGACTTGAAAACTGAACGTTCTGTTGATCAAAAACCAAAAATAGCTCTTACGATTATGCCATCATTTGTTTTGTTTTTCTGAAAAGAAAACTAAGAAAAAAAACAGCATGTTGGATCAGGCACTTTCAATTGCGGCACGAAAATTGCCTGTCGCACCCGGCACACTGATGATACAAAAAATGAATGATTTGATGATTGACACAAATTTCATTCACTTTTCTATGGCTGGCTTAATCTCACTTCAGTTTTAGGAGGTTATTATAAAAGAAGGCCCGGAGTAAGAAAAAAGAAGACCTGAACGAAGGGCCGGCATGACGGGGGTTAAAGGGGGTTGGTAGAGGCAGAGACCTATTAGCATAAGGGGGAGTCAAGATAGTTAAGGAAGGAGTTGGGGGAGCCATGAGGGGTGGTCTTACAGGGTGTGGCAGGGGTTTTTTCAGTCTGGACAGTTTTCACAGGGCAAACTTCCCTCCCGCGCCCGCCCGTTGTTTTATGGTCTGTCTGGGTGGTGGTTGTGCTATGTTGGTGCTGAGCAGGGGCGGACTGACAACTCATGGGACCCCCGGGCAATAGGGGATCATGGGTCCCCTGTGTCCTTGCCCAAACTCAAAAAAGGCTATGAAAAAGGTACCAGGGGCGTCTCATGGGGCCCCCTACTGACCCGAGTTTCCAAATGGTCAGTCCGCCCCTGGTGCTGACGGACGACCAGCGGGGTGCAAGGTCCTCATTGGTTAAGGTGGCACAAGAAAAGGCACTTTGTAGGAACCCGTCTGAGGTACGGCTTCCAGTTGTTCTGTTGGGGGTAACTGTGGTGGTGTCTCCGAGTCGGTGGTGTTGCGGCTGGAGGCCTAGTTAAGCAGGATGCAGGTATTCATTTTTCTTGATGCCTATTGGGACCTTGCAGGAACGTATGTTTATACTGTGTGTTTCTGTTATTTAAAATGTTATTTATTGATGGTTATAATAAACGGCCGGTTTTGAAGGCCATTAACTCAATTTGTTGTCAGTGTGGTTACTTAGGTTGAGGATGGGGGGGTAGGTATTGTTTGAGTGGGACTTACAAGCCATCTTTAGTCCCCTGGTCATGGCATATCACAGTATCTTCGGAGCAATAGCAGATAAGAATATTCAATAATGATTCCTAATATCCTTTCTATGCATATCATTGATATAGAAAAGATTGGGGTTTTTTTTCTCTTTATCAAAATGTAGTTTAATTTAAGAGGTTTGCAGAATTTCATGTTGTGATCCATCGCAGGCTATTCTTTGATTCTGCAAACAATTGTGGTTTCGTTTCTATTGCATTGTGTATACTGTGTTTATACACGTGTGGTAGATTGCTCAGCAAATGCTGGAAGACTAATCTCATGGGATTAGTAATGCAAAGCTTGCAATCTTCAAACTGACTCAACCTGTGAATCAAAAAAACACCTGTGCTAGTAAACAATATACGAAAAAAAAATGGACTTCCAGACGGTTCAACACAAACCTGTGAAAGGAATTTTGCTTCACATAAAGCAAGGTTACAGTAGAGTTGATTATAAAGCAAGAAAGAAATCAAATTTGCTTTTTTTTAATTACAGTGGAAATTTGTGTTTTTAGAATCTTTCTATTAAAACGAAAATTATATGTGAACCCTCAACGTGTAAAACAGCCCATTCAGTTTAAAATAGAAATGAAAGGCAAAACATATGTGCATAGATTTTTAAAAAACATTATAAGTATCCCTTTTCACCTTTTTTTTTAAGTGATCACATAATATCTCTTCTCGGCTACACATAAAGCTGAGGGAGAAGAAACAGCAGCACACTGATCTTCCCCGTGAATGACTGTGCAGAGGGGGCATGTGAGCAAAAATCTGATCATGCACACACACACACATACAGACACATATATACACACAGGCACGTACAGACCCGCATACACACACATACATGTACATACACAGAAACACACACACAGACACATCTACATACACACAGACACATGTACATACATACACAGACACATGTACGTACATACACACAAACACACACACACATATGTGCATGCACACACACACACAGACCCAAGTACACCCACATAGACACATGTACACACATACATGTACATACACACAGACACATGTACAGATACACACATGTACATACACGCAGACACATGTACATGCATACACAGACACACACAAACACACACAGATGTACATGTACACACACACACACCCCCATAAAATGTTGCAGTACTTCGTTGTTCACTCACAGAGCCGAGTACTGCACTCTAGGGAGAGGCAGAGAGCACAGCACACACTCCTTCCTTTGCTTTCACTGCGCTCAGCTATTGAGCAGTCTGATGGCTCCCAGTGCCAATGACAGATCCGGCCTGAGCTCCAAGCCTGCTCAGCAAGACCCTGGAGGACACACTCACCCCCACCATAATTTCCACTCGCCATTGGCGAGCAGGCGAGTGGAAATTTCAAGCCCTGATTACACCATACTGTTAATGCGGACATTATCCTGCATAACTAAATAAACCTTGATATCAACCTTCTGTCATCCTTTTCTGAGCAGCACTCAAACTGGAAGACAGAAAGGAAGCACCAGGGGCCTATTGGATAAGCCAGGGGTCTCCAAACTATGGCCCTACAGCTGTTGAAGCATTACAAGTCCCATCATGCCTCAGCCTCTGGGAGTCTTGCCTGTGGCTGTCAGAGTCTTGCAGGGCCTCATGGGACTTGCAGTTCCTCAACACCTAGAGGGCCACAGTTTGGAGACCCCTGGGGTAAGCCATGTAATGTTGGAGAAATTCTTGGCTCATTCTCTCCAGACATGGGGTCTTCCTGCAAGATCCATTGAACAGAAAACCAATCATACTTAGGACTTTTAGGGTGCCCTGACATATAAACAATGTACACAAAAATGAATACCCAATATATTTTAATCCTGTAAAAAAATTGGTTCTTAGACCTTTAAAGTACACAACATTCTGGCTACAAATAGCCCAATTATATATATACAACAAGTAATCCTACAATAAATAAAATACTTTTTTCTCAATTTGTAAACAGGATATTTCCCAAAGTCCTCCAGTTGTCAATATGAAGCATTTCATGGGTCCAAAACCCACAAAACATGTTGCATTGATCCTTGGCCCCCCTCTCCACTCACCAACACACGTGAAAGTACAATAGCCACAGTGGCACATTCATTCATCCATGTTGTATAGCATAGATCACGGGTGTCAAACTGGCGACCCTCCAGTTGTTGCCAAACTACAAGTCCCATGAGGCATTGCAAGACTGACAATTACAAGCATGACTCCCAAAGGCAGAGGCATGATGGGACTTGTAGTTTCGCAACAGCTGGAGGGCCGCCAGTTTGACACCCCTGGCATAGATACAACAATGTGTTAGATTTCTTTTGTTCAGCCCTAAGGCTGATCGAAAGAAAGCTATGTGTGTATGGCTCAGAACAGCTTAAGGCGGTAGTAAACCATAACCTGAAAAAAAAAATTCAAAATCCCCTCCAGTGAGTGTGGGGTGGAGGTGACAGAGCAGGGAGCAGTGACTGACAGTCCCCGCTCTCTGCTCAGAGAACTCAGCGATCAGCGGTCATGTGATAATGTGTTTGCTGAGCTCTCACCCTTAGAGCTGGAGGGGGACAGATGCAGAATTGGACCTATGCTGCATCCACCTATGTAAGTATAACTGGTCAAAAAGAAAGCACATACTTCTTAGAGCTGGAGGGGGACCGATCAGAGGCGGACTGACCATTTGGAAACTCGGGCACTGCCCGAGGGCCCGGGGGTCAGTAGGGGGCCCCATGAGATGCCCCTGGTACCTTTTTCATAGGCTTTTTTGAGTTTGGGCAAGGACACAGGGGCCCCATGATCCCCTATTGCCCGGGGGCCCCATGAGTTATCAGTCCGCCCCTAGGACAGATGCAGCATCAGATTGATGCTGCATCTACCTAGGTAAGTATAACTGGGCAAAAAAAAAGCCCATACTTCTCCTTTAATGTCACTGTGATGTCAGTGGCAGTTAGTCAGTTAGTGTCAGATTGTCCACCGCACTATTGCAGTCTCATTATAAGTTGCTGATCACCGACATTAGTACTATTAAAAAAAAATAATATAAAAAATTCAGTATATATACCATAGTTTGTAGGTGCTATAACTTTCATGCAAACCAATCAATATACACTTATTGGGATTTTTTTTTTATCAAAAACATGTAGCAGAATACATTTTGGCCAAAATGAAGAATTTCACTGTTTTTATTGGATATGTTTTATAGCAGAAAGTAAAAAAATGTGGGGTTATTTTCAAAATATTGTTTTTTTCTTTATATAGTGATGATCAAATACCACCATAATAAAGCTATATTTGTGTGAAAAAAATTATATAAAATTCATTTGGGTATAGCGTTGCATGACCACGCAATTACAAGTCAAAGTAGCGCAGTGCGGTATAGCAAAAAAAAGGCCTAGTTATGAAGGGGGTACAATCTTCCAGAGCTCAAGTTGTTAAAGCGGAACTTCACTCTCTCCATAAACATTGACTATTTTTAATCCTTATGCTGCTAACACTAGTAAACAGATATCATAGTATATCATATTTACTTGTTATAAACTTTTGTTTACATTTCTTCAGTTACTTCCTGGTTCCCAGGGCTAGGGAAATGATGTCATACATCCCAGGAGTTTTCAGGAAGGGAGGAGGGGTTTTCTTAGCTAAGTACACCCTCCTGCCTGTATGACTATGAGCTAAGGGCACATGGATTCCAGGAAGTAAATGCTACATGAATCCTCTGCCCTTACTCAAGATGGCCACAGCCAGAAATGCTAGGGGGTGTTTTTCTAGGTGATTTCTCAGCAAAACAAAGCATGGAGACATGAATAAATGAGCTTTGAGCATTAAAAATAAATTAAAAATTGTTTTTGGTTTGTGGTGACAGGTCTTCATACTCAACATAAAATTAGTGTTTTTTACATATCCACATATCACCATCAAACTATTAAACATGAAGCATTAAGCATCCCAGGTAGCTCAGTGAGAAGAAACATTGCCTCTCACCACAGAAGGCCCAGGTTCGATCCCAGGCTCTGACAGTACTCCCCTCCTCACAGGATGTCCCCTGGACGTCTTAGGACCAGGCTTGTGGGGAAACTTCAGGTGGAATTCTCTTTCCATGTTTGATGGAGAGATGTGTATATGTTTAGTACTCCTGCCTTCAAGATATATTCTGTTTTTGCCATTTTTAAATTTTATGTTGAGTATGAAGACCTGTCAATGACGTTTTCATACACGTGATTGTGAACTATTGTCAGCTGGCGTGAGTTTAATGCATTGCCTATATAATGAGGTTTGGACATCTCACACTCATCTGCTCCGTGAGGATGTGGAATGACGAAACGCGTAGGCCGTGGTTTGAGTGTGTGACGTCAGCGCACTCCTAACATCGCAAGAGCGCATATGTGTTGTGGCTGAGTCTACTCCTTGGCTTCTGTCTATGCTGAATATTCTGTTTTTTTGTAAGTGCGTTTTTGTCATTATTAAAAGAGTGTTTTTAAGAAGTACAGCACTATGAGCTTCTTTTTTTATATTCCGAGTGGCCATTCCAATACCTCTTAAAAGAAGATGGGATGTGAATAAAGTGGATCTTCAGAGTCTCCTGCAGAGTATTGCTCTAGCAAATCATCTCTTCCAAGCCTAAGTTGTGTCTCAACTGTTTGCAGATCGTTGCTCCCTGAGCAAAAAAGCGCTTATGCTGGTTTATAATATAATCAGCATATTGCTCTGGTGAGTTTATTCAGTTCATTTGGTGGTGGATTCACTTGGTGGATTTTATTTCAAAAAAGGATTTTTTTGCATCTTTATTTTTTCACTATCACATATATTTTTTTTGGGGGGGGCTTTCAAATATTGATTTATATTTTGGGACTTTTATATTTGTTTATTGATATGATTTAAAATTTTCATGTGTCAATGCTATGGTATATACTGGATCTGTTACTAGCACTGTCTTATTTTTTCACACTTGATTATATTATTGAATTAAATGTATTATTATATATTATTATTTTTTATGATTATTTATTATATTATAATTTATGATTTCGTGTTTCAAATTTTATCATACCTGGGATGTTTACTAGGCTCTTGTTCAGACAGATCTCAGTGAGTTATTCCTAAGAATTACAGGCCTACAATAAAAAATACATATTTTCATGCAAAAAAAGTACCGCTTTGAGCACAGAAATATTGACATAATCAGACCGCTAGGGAGGTTAATAGGAATATAACCTATTTTGCATCATGATACTTTTCGATGTTTTCACCCAATATTTAATTAGAAAAATGTGTGAATAGTGGGTGTAAATTGTTTGAGTCTTGGATGAAGACATTGATAATAAATAGACCGTAAATAAGTAAATACACCCATACATTGTTGCCAAAATTTTTAAAAGATTTGTTTGCATGTAAAGGTTTTGTTACATTTATTGCCGGGTGAGTTTCTGCAGCGCCATGAAGAGGAGCAGACGGGACAAATAGAGACATCACCGCAAGAAAGCTTGCAGACTGCAGGTTGACAAGTGAAAACAAAACCCTGGAGAATTATGTTTACGGTGTGCTTTGAACACATATAATATTCTTCAGAATGAAGCAGACAAGAGTGATGGATTGTGCACAGCACACCTTGTGAAGAGCAGAATGAAAGTGTTTCCTATGCTAACAGGTTACTTAATAGAGATCGTTTACAATTTTATTGCAGCCACAAAATTACAGTGATATCCCACAAAATACATAATGAGCTTTATGTCATGAAAATGCACAAATGAAACGGAGCTGCAGTCATTGGTGTCTGCCAAAGTTTCCTTCCTCACCTTAAAGCAGAGAAGGTAAAATATTTAATTTCAAAATAATAATAATTATAAAAATTAAATATATATATATAAAAGATTAATGCAATATATCATTAAATAATTGAATTATATGCTGTCAAACTAATATCATGCCTATTTTATAAAAAAAAAAATATATTGTTCTTCAGTAATTAGGTTTTTGTAAAGCAACGCCTTTTTCGGCTGTAAAAATAAGTGATTTAGCGTTGCAGTCTGTGCCCAGGCAGACAATTCCCCTTAGTGTGACGTCATCTGCTCTTAACTTTTTTGGATCCTGAGATGACCTCGCTGCTGAGCAGCCAGTAAGAATTGTACAAGTCACACAGGAAGCAACTGGAGGCACCTAGAAAAAAAACCCGGGACCCAATGCATCGCAAGACCTTAAATTTAGGTAATTTTTTTTTTTTTATTTAAATATTTTATTGTTTTCAAATCACCATATTAAATGTACAAAAGCTAATAAAACAGACAGTATACATTACACATTTCTGTCATAACACTCCCCAGAAATAACCTTAATCTCGGTGACCTTTTACCCCTCCCCTTACCTATTCCCCCCCCACCCTTTGATTATGCATTTTTAAC